TACTCACGATTTTCACCACACTGACACAACTTGCCTCACTTGTACTTGCTCGCCTTGCTGTACCGCCGTACGTAATTTCTGCCTACTGCAACCGCTGCAACTGGGGTGGCTCCGCTCCGTGATGACGTATCCTGACGTCACTGCAGCCAAGCGCCGTCCGAGGTCACAACCAATTGACCCCTGTACTGTAGTTCACCACGTTTGCGACAGCGATCCACTGCCCGTAGCGACGGAGAATCCTAGACACTCCCCTGGTATCCGGCTCGAAGGACCATGTAAACACTATGGTCGCTCCCTGGTGGTACTTCAGTTTGATCACCGACTCGAGGTATAGGTAACTTAAATAAAACCCACGAACTCAGAGTAATACAAAGGTTATTTATTTAATTAAATCAATGGCCTTACCTGTTGGCTTGAAACTACTTAATACCGCGATTTAAATTTGTAGGACGCCATCTGAGGGTCGTCGTCTGAACTCTGAACTAATCTTAGAATGAATTAATGAATTAATCATAAATCAAATACTGTACAACGCCATCTGTACGTAAACGTCTGAATTAATCTTAACAAACGGCGTAGTAATAGCTGCTTTAAATTTAAGAAAAATAGCTAAGCTTTGGAAAAGCTAAGAGCGATTGAGATATATATTAAGGAAAATAAATATAGGATAAATTGAGAAAGCCAAAAAACGTCTCAAGTTGTCTTTGATCTAGATCTGTTTTTATGGCATTAGCATGGTAATTATTCTAAAAACGTCAACATGTTATGTGACATTGACAACCCTATAAAAAAGCCCAATCATGGTATACTGGCTGCGTACCTTCACATAGTTTCCGACGACGTTTTTCTGTTCTATTCAGACCCCTAGCATATAAGAAGCGTTCATATAAGATGTTACTCACCAAATACTGTCAAAAGAATACAAATACCATCTACTACCCTATGTGCGTTCGCAGTTTTTCTCACGGTGTTGTTCGCTCAATTATCCCTCATATCATAGACCCTCAGCTGATTATGTACAGATGCTACTCAACAAGCCCTATCAAACGGGCCTAAAATCTAAAGCACTTTAAAAAAAAGCGCATCAACACCTCCTGGTGGTTTGTAACCATCAAACCTATCTAACAATCATTACAAAACAAAAAACGCATCTAAATCGTTCAATACGTCTTGGAGAAAATGCGCTAATATTAATTTTAACGATTTCAACGTGTATTGCTGTGTCCCCTGACGTATTAACACAATGCATTCTCATATCAAAGAACTATAGTCAATGAATCAAAAACCCTTTACAGAAAACTTTATCTAAATCCTTAAAGCCGTTTTCGAGATAAATGGGATAATTCGTTTGCACACAGAAACAACCTCTCACCCTAAACACATGACATCTTCTTAGTTCGTAAAATAGCTCTAGAAATAATCTAGCTTTTTCAACATCAGTCACAATTTCTTTGATAAGTAAAGAAAAACGGAATCAATAACAAAAAAAGTGGAATCAATAGGACTCAACTAGGCCCGATTTAAAATTCAGAAGTTTAACGTGTTTGATAGTAAAACCACAATTAAATTGTATAATAACATACAGTTCTGTCTTTTTAAGCCTCATAGGTGACTTCAAAAATGAAGGCGTTTCTCCGTCAGTCGCGTCCGTTTATATGTTCTGGAAAGCGCGGCGGTCTATCTTTAGTTTAAAACAATCGATATTATAATAAAATTAATACGTGCTAGAGCCATGCTGTAGCTATATTATGGTTGTGGCACGAATGGGTCGGCTCGATCGAGGAGGAGTGTAAAGAAACGGAGACCCTTTTTACTGGAAACGAGGCATTCCATCTCAGTCCTCAGGGGTGACATTGCATCTGCATTTTGTTTAATGTAGATATTTATGGACGACAGCATCCCCTTACCATCAGGTGGACTATGTGCTCGTTTGTCACCCTTATTCTATAAAAAAAAAGAGGAAACTAATGATTGAAAAAAAATCTTATTAAGCTTACACCAGCTAATAATACTTTCATATTAAGTAACCTGCACACCTAGAAACTAAGTGAGCCTTAAATATCTTAATAATATATATTATACATAATAATAGATACATGGGTAATGAAAAAGCACAGCTTTTAAGATAGAGAATAGGGGTATGGAACGTAAGTTGTGCCTACGTTGAACGTGATCGATTTTTAATTTAAGTGGATGTCTGTCTGCAAACAGTCCCCACTATACGGGAGAGAATTTTGGAGGTAAATTTTATCTTAAAAAAATTTAATAAAGGGTGACGAACAAGATACAAGCCCTTCGGATGGTAAGTGGAAGTTGTGACCAAGAGACAAACACACTACACCTATCTCAAACTAAACTTCGAACAATTTTCTGCGTTGTTACCCCTAAGGACTAAAATAGAATACCTCGTTACTGTTATACTTACCGTACAAAACACAGCATTATTATGCTGCTATTTTACGCTGGTATTCTGTGAGAGCGTGGTTCAGCCCCGGTTGAGACGATTCCAATAATACAACTGCAGCGTGGCACAACCAAGTAATAACATGTAGCCATTTAATTATTATTGAACCTACAATCTTTGGGCTCATTCAGTTACTAAAAAAGTGGATATTTGGTAAGTATATTTCCATGAAATCAGAAGCACCGTCCAACAAGAAAGAAGAGCATCGAAGTGGTGTCGTTGTATTATTATATACACTGTATCGCAACGTATAAATTATCCTTCACCGCGCTACCCGCACCTCCGAATACCCTGCTTATATTGCATACATCAATTCACTCTTCTCGAATAATCCGTACATTGACATCGCGAATGCACCCATAATCTTAAGTTAGCAGAAACATCGTGCAATGCACTTATGTATTTGCAATTTGCAGTGAAAAGAGCACTCAATGAGAACTGCTTGCAATTCCGTACATTCAAATTATATTCTTCATTTAATTCAAGCAGTGTTCGGTCATATTACTTTATAATAACAATTTTATGTTTTGTTTTACCACATGCTCTGCTGTGAAGGGAAACGTATATACGTAGTAGAACCATGCAGCAGTTATATTAGTAGTATAGTTGTAGCACGAGTGGGTCGGCTCGACCGGGGAAGGACCACGCCCTCACAGAATACCAGCGTAAAATAGTAGCTTAATGCTGCTGTGTTTCGTATGGCGAGCGTAGAGAACCAGATACCATTTTTACTAAAACCGAGGCATTCCATCTTAGTTCTCACGGGTAGCAACGCATCTGCATTTTAATTTGTATTCGAAGATAGATGTAGATGTCTATGGGTCGCAGCAACCACTTACCATCGGGTGGACTGTGTGCTCGTTTGTCACCCTATCCTATAAAAAAATGAGGAATCTTGCATGCCTTAGGAATAAAATATTCCGGAGACATGTAAAGTCCGCCAACACACACTGCAGCAGCACGGCGGACTTACCGTGTAGAAATGAAATAAATAGTGTGCCCAAAAATGGGTTATTAAAGGCTGTAACTTTAAGTGCTAACCTGACTCACTGACGGAAAAAGCTCTAACTCAACTGTGAAAAATCTATATAATATATCTTTGTTACATTCAATGCACATAATTTTGTCATTGTATAGAATACCTAGTCGTTCCATTAAATGCCGTGTTTGCTTAGGCAACGTATGAAATATATCATCTATCGTTTACCATTATATACAGGTCCTAAATATTGCATCTAATACCTAGATAATCATATCATAAACACGCACGCCTTTCACCCATAGGGGTAGACAGAGACTACAGACTTCCATTTGGCACGATCCTGACACACCTCTCTCGCCTCCTTCACATCCATACACCTACGCATACATGCTCGTCGGTTAAGGGTACTCCTAATTTGGCCCGTTTTCAATAAATCGCCAATTTGGTTGATACATTTTCGCCTAGGACATCCCTTTCCGACTCTGCCATTCACTTCTGCAACGTAAATTTTATTTGTCACTCTTTCCTCATTCATTCTTTCCACATGACAACAACACTTCAACATCATCTTGCAAACCACACTCTTCTCTTATTACACAATTTCTTACCCTGTCATTCAGATTCAGCCCCAACATACTACTTAACGACCGCATTTCTACTACGTTCATTCTACTCTTGTGCTTCTTCTGCCACACCCAACTTTCACCACCATACGTTAAAGTAGGGACCAACACAGCATTGTGAATTGCCATACGTGCCTTTTTCGACACATTTTGACTCTTCACAATAGAGTGTAGGGCCCCATTTATTCTATTTCCTGCATTCACTCGTCGTTCTATATCCTTATCACATCTCCCATCCCTGCTAAATACGCAACCCAGATGTACAAACTCATCTACTTGCTTGATCAACTCCCCCTTCTATTCTTATTTCACATATCGTCTTACTTTCTTCTCTTTCAAAAACCATAACTTTCGTCTTACTTGCGTTCACTTTCATACCCCTTTCTTTCAATGATCTGTTCATTAATGTAACCATCATTTGCAGCTCGACCGCCGACGACGCAAGAATAACTTAACCATCGGCGTACAAAAGGCATTTCACGGTTTTTTTCCCTCCTTCTTCTTTTCCATGAGGAATTGCTATCGGTATACAATTCCTTATGGTTGCGAAATTTTTGTTGAAATGATGGGTTCTATTTGCTCCACATTTTGCTTTGATTTCTGTTAATATTTACTTTTGATAACTTTCAACAATGGTTTTCATAATATATATTAATAATGTTACCTAAAATATTTTACGATAAGAATTTGATTTATGTTTTATGCAAGACAATTGGAACATTAATTTGTTTAATACTAAACATAAATATACATATTCATACATAATTATATATAAATATTTATAATTAATAAATATTTAATATTTATAGACTACCTTAATAGAATTAATAAAATTAGAATCACTATTTACATAAGGTATCTTATTATTATACGTTTAGTCCAATTTTTCATGAATTTACTTATGAGGCATATAATGTTCAATAATTTTAATTTATACTACTGTATTGTTGTTGAAGTTTTTTAGTTGACTTATAATGTAATTGACGCGGGCTTTAAAAGTTTGTATAGTAGTTTCTTTGGAAATTATTTCTGATAAATTATATGGTTCTGTCTTTAACATAGTGCACGCAATTTCATGTTCCATTCTTGTTCTAAGAAATGCAGGGCAGTTTCTTATAAGATGTGTCATGGATTGTACACTAGTTTGATCGCATGGGTATTTATTATCATTGGTTATTTCAAAACGATGAAGATATTCCTTGTGATATCCATGATTGCTAAGATACTGAGTTATGGCAAAATTAGGTGCAAGTGCTTTAACAGTTAGGGTGAGTTGCTCATAAGTAGGACATAGAGATTTGGTGTATATTCCTTTGTCACTTTCAAAGTAAAAGTTTTCTGTTCCTTTAATGGCTTGTTGTCGATTTAAATATTTTACATGGCTTATTGAGAATTTGAGAAATTCATAAGATCGGTGGGAGGTTGCCGCGCTTTTAGCAGCTGCATCCGCTTCTTCATTGCCTGAAATTCCGATGTGACCTTTAATCCAGCAAAGACTGACTTTTAAATTGAGTGATTCAATTCGTTGTATTATCCTATGAATCGATACTACGAGGGAGTTGTAACTGTTTTCGTTTGCAATTTCTTGGAGACCTGATTTGCTGTCGGAGAAAATATATGTTGGATTGATTTTGTGTTCTATAATCCATTCGCAGGCTTTAGAAATGGCCAGGAGTTCGGCTTGAAAGACTGAACATGAGTCATGTAATTTGTATTTGCGTATTATTTTTTCTCCATTCGGTTTGTGTATCACAAATGCAGCGCCCACTTTATTGCTGTGCTTGCTACCATCGGTGTAAATACGGTAAGAATTTATAATATTTTCTGTCGGTATTTGTTCTTCAGTAAATTTAATAGGTTTTCGCAAAGAGGGATGTAATAAATTTCCTGGTTTAGCAGGGATGTCTAGAGTAACATCAGAAGGTAGGTACTGTGAAACTTGTGTGATTCTTGTGCGCTCATTATCTGCTATTTCCTTTATTTTTATTGGGAGTGGGCGTAGTTGAGCAATTGATATGCAAGCGACTGTACTCACGGTTCTAAAGCCACGGATAATTCTAAGGGCAAAATTGCGTTGCAAATAGAGTAGTTTCTCTTTCACACATTTGAACCCGATTGCTGATTGCCATATAGAAGAAGCATAACAGACTATTGGCTCAATCACATGTTTATAAATAATTTCTATATTCTCGAAGTGAATGCCCCAAGTTGGTTTGACGAACGTTATTAACCTAGTGTACAATTTACGGACTTTGTTGAAGATGAAATCTACATGTTTTATGAATTTGAGCTTTTTGTCTATTAAAACGTCTAAAAGCTTAATCTCCTTAGAAAAATTCAGGAGATGACCAGACATATAGAGCTTGCACCTCGCTGCCTTGCAAGTAAGTTTCATTTCCTGACCCCATTTAGTGATTATACTCAACGCATTATTTGCGTTAAGCTGTAAATTATTACTATTTTTGGCGCGCACAAGAAGGCATATGTCATCCGCAAATGCTTGTATTGTAGCTCCAGGTGGCATATCCATATCGAGAAGTTCGTCCACAATTAAATTCCATAGGAAAGGGCCACAAACCGAACCCTGGACGCAACCTCTCGTCAGAGTTTTTATAGCTGTGCTGTCTCCGAAATGTATAATTGCAGATCGATTTTGGAAGTAACTACACAAAATAGAGTAGATGTTACGGGGGCATCCAATTTTATGTAGTCTGCGGTATATTGCCGGCCACCAAGCACAGTCAAATGCAGCTTGTATGTCTAAAGAAACTGCAAGCACTTGCTCTTTATTGGCTATGGCCTGGTTGCTAATATTTATTATGTTGATTAATGCATTGATGGTAGATGTTTGTTCTTTAAAACCGTACTGTGCTGAGTTAAAAAGATCTTTTTGGTGCATGAAATATGTTAACCTGCGTATAACTAGTTTTTCAAACAATTTTCCAAATACATTAATCAGACCTATGGGGCGGAAAGAAGAGATATTTAAATAATCGTTCTTGTGGGGCTTAGGGAGGATTTTGATAAAAGCTATCTTCCAGATATTTGGAAAATATCCCAGTTTAAAACATCGGTTAATCACTGAAGTAATAAGATTTGGAAAGCTTTCGGCAAATAATAAGCAAATGTCAGAAGTAAGATGGTCCGTGCCGGGTGCTTTTTTCGGATTAATACTATGCTCCTGCGAATTTCTTCATAGGTAAAAGGGGGTTCATCTTGAGTATTAGGTACGGTAATTGCAATGTTCCGAAGCTTCTTCTTGAAGTGGTGTATCATTTATGTCATCATCGGGAAAAAACTTATTAAGAAGAGCTTGGGCGGTTTCGAGGCTAGAGTTGGTGTATGTACCATCGCATTACTTTAGTGTGGCTGGTGGTAGCGCAGGTAGGTTTGATTTGATTATTCTATTTGTAACGGACCACACATCCTCCTTCCCCTGCCTTTCACAAAAGTCTCTGAAATTTCGCGTGGAAGTTTCTCTAAAGGTTTTTGAATAAGCAGTTTTTAAGCGTTATTTTTCCAAAAGGGCGTCCTCAAGTGGTTTATTTTGTCGGCAAAGTTTTTGTATGTTATGATGGTTGCGTATTACTTGTTTTTTGAGACTTTCAAGTTCGTCTGTCCACCAAGGGCAGCGGTATTTTCGACCAGTTGACCTTGGGAGCAGCTCATCACATGTTCTTTGAATTGCCGATGTAACTGAAAATATGTAATCTTCCAGTTCATTTGCCTGCATTTGTTCAACTGTAACATTTTGGGGTACATATTCCATAATTTTTTAATTTTTTTTAGTTTCAAAGGAAGGTCTTAGTTCCTCCCATTTTATGTTATTCGTATTGTATCTAAACGTACTGGTTGTTTTGTTGGTTTTTCTTCTTGCACCACGAGTTGCGACTGAAAATATTACTACCCTGTGTTTAGAAGATGGACAGATTAAAGGATCAACTTTCCAGTCCACAATCCGGTCATAAATAGAGCCAGAGGCAAGGGTAAGATCAATATAAGAACTACGCACTTGTCCATATGAAACTGTCTCAAAAGTAGGAGTATGGCCTATATTACAGAAAAACATGTCATTGCCATAGGCAATGTCAACAACTTCGATTCCCCGCGAATTTGCACGGTCGCTACCCCAGATAGGGTGCCAACCGTTAAAATCACCGCCAATCAACTGATGGCAGTTACTGGTCATTTTTAAAAAGTTTTCTAACCGTTGCAATGTATTGTTTTCATCACTATTAGGCTCGATATAGACGGATGCTATGTACAATTTACTGCCCTCAATATTCAATAGAACTGCGCTGAAATTAGCCGATGAAAATTGGGATAGACCTATTACGGAATCACAGCTAGATTTTGTCATTATGCACGCTTTGACCCTGTTACCATTGGGGAACTGAAATATGTTGATACCAGGGATGGGTTTAACAATATTGCCAGATCCCACATAGGGCTCTGACACCAGTGCAATTTGGAAATGGCCGACTATAAAAGAAAGAACAAATTCATGTTGACTTTTCTTGGATTTATCTAAAGAAGTTACACTGTAGTACTTTGAGTTTATTTACTTGATCCATAATCTATTCGGTTTATGATTCTTTCTTTCATGGCTCGCAGTCTGGGGTAATAAGTGGATGTAGCCTTATGTTTGGTATCAGTTTTGTGCTAAATTTGGTGTTATGTGCGACACAGTTGATACACTGAGCGCAGTGCGGATTGTCTCTTTTAGGACAGTTTTCAGAATTATGTGTGGTTGCGGCACAATGACCGCATGCAGTGTTTTCCGAAGTACATTTGTTCTTTGTGTGTCCAAACTGGTAACATTTATGACATTGCATAAATGGTGAAAATTCCTCAACGTGTATGCGCTGATGATCGATGGATAATTTACACATGCTGATCATTTTTCTCCAAATTGTGGGTTGAGCCCGAAAAACTGCATTTCTGTTACTGCGTTTGAAGCAAAATTTTAAGTCATCCTGTTCTGTAATGGTATCAGATAGTTCAGTATTTTGCATTTTAATAATATCCACTAATTCTTCAATTGGAGTGTCAACAGAAATTCCCTTGAGGATTATTATGGGTCTAAGTTTTCGTGCAGGTTCAGCTGTAACTACCTTTGAGTTCAATAAACGTGTTAGAGTTTCGTCACGCTGCTGTTCGTTATCGAACTCGACCCTTAATTTATTGTGTGACACTGTTTGAACGCGAGCAGGTGCATATCTGGTGGCACGGAAGCTGATACTTTTGCGCCAAACGTCGATAACTTCCTGCTTATTTTTAACTTCTGTTTTTGGAGTGACGATTAACGCTGGTTTGGTTGCGGGGAGGGGTGTACCGTGGTTGTTTATCGTGAGTGATTGATTAGCGCTTGAAGAAACAACTTGAGCATAAGACGATCGCCCTAGAGAAGGGCTGCTAATTGATTTCTTAAAATGAGTAATTTCTTCACGCACACAAGTGATAATATCATTTTTGAGGTCCTCAGCGGGACTAGACAGCGTGGATGTAATATTAGTAAGTACCAAATTGGCTCTCCTTATTTCTTCAGAAGCAACTGTGATGAGGCGCTTATTTGCTGCTGTGACGCTCTTGCCATCATTGACCGCATTCACAATGCATGCAACCAATTTATTTACAACTTCCGTATACATAGAAACATTAGCGATTTCTTCTGCCGTCGCTGGCAGCATCGGCAAATCACTAATACCAGGAGCCATTATTATAAATTTTTGAATTATATATAGTACAAAAAAAAGAAAGAAAGAAAGAAAGGTAGTGAAAACTGGGTGGTTCGAAATGGCATTTGATGGTTAACTCACCCATTCTTAATCCGCATTCTTCAACTTTCAAATTTTGCAAACAAGTGTCCATAAATAGGTTGAACAGCCACGGGGAAGCCACATCTTCTGCCCTGTCTGACACCTTTATGAATGCCAAACCAGTCCGAGTAGACCCCATTGACCCTAACACAAGCACTAGAGTCCCTATAAAGCGACTCCAATGCCTGTATCAAGCCAGCGTTCAACCCAAATGAGTTCAGTGTTTGCCATAGCACATCCCTATCCACTCTGTCATAGGCCTTTTCCAAGTCCACGAACGCACAAAAAAAATGCGTGTGCGTGTGCGTGTGCGTGTGCGTGTGCGTGTGCGTGTGCGTGTGCGTGTGCGTGTGCGCGTGTGCGCGTGCGCGTGCGCGTGCGCGTGTGCGTGTGTGTGTGTGTGATTCAGTTGATTCTTTTACATTTTGATGTGTTAGTATCCTTTTGTTCTTTAATAATTTTATAAACAGTATTTTCGGACACACCACATGCACTTGCTGTTTTTATTACTGTGCTCTCCACAGTCGCATTTAAATCACACAGTTTAAAGTACTTATAAACATTGTAAATTACGCGTCTCTCTCCGCTATGGATTATTGATCCACTTTTTTCTTTCGAATAGGTGAGGTATTCATTTTCAAAATTTAATTTTGAACGAGTAACACGCAAAATACACAACCGTTTTGTTCGAAGGCCTGACTTCAACTGGTCACTGTGAACTCGACTTTCTAATTTCTTGCATTTTAATTGGCTGGGGGGCGTGGCCAGGCCGGCGGACAACGATGGATCACTATTTTCTTAACGCAAACGGACTATATATAAATATTTATCAATCAGCCATTATTTTAGCGCCTTTATAAAGAGAGGGGAATATAAGTCCCTGATATCAGAGGGAATTTTGTTGTGAATTTTAATAGTCATCATGTAGCATTTTTATTCAAAAATTGAACTTTTACGGGATGGAGCCAAAAGTCGGTTAGTGTCTCTAGGGCGTAGCCGTGGACTGACCATTTCGAATTTTTGAAGCAATTGTGGATGATTTCTAACAAAAAGTCCTACTTCTAAGATGTAGAGGCCTGTTAACGTAAAGTAAAAAAGTAAAGTTACAGCCTATATACGTCCCACTGCTGGGCACAGGCCTCCCCTCATTTCTGAGAGGGTTTTAGGGCAAGAAAGTGTCCGCTGCGCTGCCCCAATGCGTGTTGGCGAACTTCACATGTCTTCGAAATATTTTTTTTCTTATTTCTCAGACATGCAGGTTTCCTCACGATGTTTTCCTTCACCGCCAAGCACGTGGTAAATCAGCACTTAAAATAGCAATTAACAATTTCATTGGTGCCGACGGGGATCGAACCCGGGTTACTCGCGTTGTGTTATATATACAGCGAGCGCCTGTAAACGTCAATAATTTAAATTCTTTAAATAATGGTCGGCAAGTATCACTTGGTCCTGCTCCTGAAATAGCTCTTACACATTTTTTTTGTATTGTAAATGCCTTGCCTATATCTGAAGAATTTCCCCATAATATAAGGCCATATCTCAGCACTGATGCAACATAGCTGTAATATGCGGTTAACGCCGTTTTTTCTCCAATTGCAATGCTGGTCAAGAACAATACCCAAAAATTTGGTATCCTCTGTTTCTTGAATTTCTTGTTCTTGGCAAACTACTTTGAGATTCAGTCGATTTGAATTATAGTGTGAAAACTGTATAAATTTTGATTTTAATACATTGACATACAGTTTATTTTGGAGTAGCCATTCTTTTATATATTTAAGTGTTTCATTGATGCTTTGGTTGTCTTACGGCTTTGTCACGGTTTGGAATTATTACTGATAAATTATCTGCATATAAATTTGTTGGATAGTTAATTAATTTAGGTAAATCATTTATATAAATTAAAAATAACAATGGGGCCATGACGCTCCCTTGTGGGACACCGTATTTATTATGTAGAAAAGCTGATTTATATGACACTATTTCATGATTTTTATTGATCTTGCTGATTTCTACGCATTGCAGACGATTAGAAAGGTAACTGCTAATCCAGTTCAGAGCATTTCCTCTTATACCGCATCCTTCACATTTAGTAAGGAGTATCTCATGATCTACAAGATCAAAAGCCTTGCTCATATCGAAAATATAGACACATTTGGCCCCTTTTTGTCTATGTTTTCTGTTATTGTTTTTATTAAAGAGTAGGCTGCAAGAGTTGTCGATTTATTCGCTTGGAAACCGTTTTGATCTTCAGCTATTACACTATGCTTATAATATATAATAACATAAATTCACGTACGACGTTCCCCGCGCAATTAAATCACAAAATGGTGAATGATGCTCGTCAACACATCATAGCGGCGACAAGGTCACGCGTCTATGCGACTTCTATTGTATTATTACGATTTTTGTGTTAGGTACATATATTAATTTTATTAAAATGAAACCAACAAATTAATAACGCATCTAGTAGGGTTAGGAAGCCTAAATATCTTACCTATACTTGAGGGTAGTGCAGTCCATGGTATTATATTTGGTCAATTTATAAAATTTTGGCAAATTCGCGTCTAAACTAATTAACGCATTCAGTATACAGGGGCAGAATCTAATACATACCACTTGCAATATTACGAGGCGCAAGTTTAGCTTAACATATAAAACTGTTCTAATCTCTTGGCCTCGATACCCCAGTGACAGCTCCTTCCACTTGACTGCATCGATGTTGCATCCTTTTGCATTTTGTTATCACAGTTACAATGGAGAATGCTTAGAGTAATTGTTCGAATTTATTCCACCACCGCACATCGCAACAAAATTCGCGATATTTATCCACATCATCTAAATGTTTAGCAGTCCACTACTGTGCAATTCAATTGCGATGCCTCGCGATACGTGGTAGTTTACTTCCTAATATGACTTCTTTGAGGAATTGGCTACAACGAGCGATTTTTCCAAACCGAAACGACTTACGCCTTAGCATTTCAAGAGCATACTTCTTTTAAAGAGGCCGGCAAAACACCTGCCATTTCTCTGGTGTTGCAGTTGTATAATTGCGGCGGAGATCACTCGTCATCAAGAGTAGTATAGCCGAAAGTGGATAACCGAGTACCACCGAGTACCGAGTAGCACCACTGTGGTAGCGACGAGGACACGTTGCAGCATAGCCTAGAGGATTGCCCAGGTTGGGCCAATTTGCTTCTTGATTTTGTAACCGTAGTGGATTACTATCTCCCGCTTCTAACTTCGATTAGGACTATATTTGCATGCACACGGTCGTGGATTATCTTTTGTCAGCAGTTGATATCGCGGAAGAAGGCTGCGGCGAAGAAAGGGGCGCAAATCGCAGATTTTAGCTCGCGGCGGGAGAGCGGGTTACCGTAGGTAAGTTTGGCAGACTTTTTTCATTCTCCATTATTAAGGACTAGGCGGCGAGCACGTGGGTTGACCGTCGCTATACGTACGTAAAGCCTCGACGTCGCGCGAACGGCGCTCCCTCGTGCCTCCATATGAAAAGGGGTTGTAGAAGTCCTGCTACAAATTACTCAACGAAATCGAGACCTTATTCTCATTAGCGGTTGAGGCTATAATAGTGAGCGATAGTTTTAGTAGCACTGAAAAAGAGTTACGAGGTGTACACCGTGAGGATTAGCCGAATTTCTCCACGTACAAAAAATGTACCCTAGATATTTATTTTACATTTAGAAATCAATTTCAGATTTAAACGCGATCAAGTTTCTTTTTAATTGTTTTAATCTAAGTCTTATAATCTTTTGCTCTTATCAATTTTTTCTAAAAATGATTGATCATTTTTGCGAACCCCTCCCAGATGGCCGCCTGATAGTCTCAAACTTAGGACAAATTCGGGGAAACTCGATAGGATGGCAATCGTATGTGCAGTTAGTTGCTGAATATTATTATCCTCACAATAGTACTAACTGTCTGATAATATTATTTTATTAAATTATATTTTTATTTCGTAATGATAATGACACCCGTATGTAACAACATTCTAGACAATTTCTGCTTATTGATTACTAGTTACGAACTGCGCAAAATGTTTCGTACTTGTAATTCAAGTGCACTACAAAAGACAAAGACACTTTTACTCTCCTTCCGTTTATGTGATAACATCGGAGAAGCGTTAAATGCAGTGTCAATAAGCGAACATGTAAGCTTGAAAAGAAAATGGTAGCTTGTTATAAGAATCATAAGGACTCTTGTCTAAATAGTGTCGCATCTGTCTAGGCATGGCTCAAATTAGATACAAACAAACAAAATCGATATTATCGATGAAACATTGATCTGCTGACCGCTGGTTAGTATCTGAAAAAATTATTCCGGGTCTGAATAATTGTTCATGTGCAATAGATGTATGATGATGTGTTGTGATGTGTTACGAATTAATGTGTGTATAAAACGCCATCATGATACTGAAGATATTCCTATTTTTTTTCAGTGATAAGAAAGTCCGTGTGGTGTTAAAGGATCAATCATCCTATATAACCAAGCGGTGTCGCATGAGGCGACTATAAGGGAAAAACCAAAATAAGGCCTCCAGTGGAAAGTCATAGTAGAATGTTATGTATTTCTAGATATTATTCACTCTAAGAATGCACACAAAAATGTTGATGTCTGATTATACCTCGTCAATGTCAATATAACATTTGTACAAGAATTACAGTCTTGAATTTTCGATCGAAAAATACTACAAAATAAAAATATTACTTTTATAAATTTATGAGGTTGAAAGACTGCCGCACTCTGCTGCAGATGCTATGTTTCATTACGATATCGTCAGTCGTAAAACTGATAGCCCCGGTTTAGTTCCTACACTACAACAACAGGCTTAGTAGGTGCGCAGTAGGCACAGGTACTTCGTTTCTTCATATTCCTGCAAGCCG